ATAACGATGAATTAAGAGAGATAGTGGAAGCCGATCCTAGTCAAACTACCCAGGAATTAGCGGCATGGTTTAACGTTACCTTACCCACAATATTGACTCACTTGCGTCAAATCAATAAAATAAAAAAATACGAAAAATGGGTGCCTCATGATTTGATTGATTTGCAGAAAGAAACGCGTGTTGAAACTTGTGTTGCCTTGTTGAACCGGTACAGAAATGAAGGAATATTGGATCGAATTATAACATGTGATGAAAAGTGGATTCTTTATGATAACCGGAAAAGAAAAATGTAATGGCTGACCCCAGGTCAAATGCCACAACAGTGTCCTAAAGCAAAACTTACCAATAAAAAGGTAATGGTAACTGTTTGGTGGTCTCAGCATGGTGTTATTCACTATAGTTTTCTCCGATCTGGTCAAGCAATAACGGCAGATGTCTATTGTGCCGAACTCCGAACCATGTTGACAAAACTAGCAGTAAAACAGCCCCGACTCATGAATCGATCTTCACCATTATTGCTCCACGACAACGCGAGACCTCACACAGCACGAGAAACCATTTTGACCCTTCAGGAACTGCAGTTAGAAACCATTCGTCATCCTCCGTATTCACCAGACCTTGCTCCAACGGACTACCATTTTTTTCGTGATTTGGACAATTATCTACGTGACAAGAAGTTTTCTTCCCAGGAGGCAGTACAAAATGCTTTCACACAGTTTGTGCAGTCTAGATCGTCGGAGTTCTATCGCAAAGGCATTAATAACCTTCCCATTAGATGGCAGCAATGTATAGATAATAATGGCAACTATTTTGATTAAATAAATTTGTTAAAAATTTAAAAAATAAACAATTTAGATTTTCAGTACAAATCGGCAATTTCATACTTTAACCCCTATTATTAGTGACTTTTTTCATAATTTGCTGCATCGTGTATCTCTAGTATATTTGAAGGCGTTGACATTTTATTACTCACCCACCGTTATTATTTTTAAACGAAATTTTGAAACGAAATGTCTGCAACAAAAAATCACTAACCAGTCTAAATTAAATTATTTAGCTTTTTATTTATGTACTGGTTACCAGGGAGAGGCGGATTAATACGGAAAATACGCTACATTTGTTTAAATCCGCCTCTCTATCAGACAGACCCGTCTGTACAGGTGTCCAACGGCTGGACCTGTGGCTGGACCCTTCTCTTGTTTTGCACCCCGGTAAATCACAGCCGACGGCCGACGTCGGCCTGGTTACGCGTAATGCATTCATTATGCAATAATAATGAACTTTAACATAAAATTTAAAAACAAACAAAAACGAAAAAATACCTACTTATTCAGCAATTGCTGAGATCAAGTGCGCGGAACTTGCCAAGTGAAATATCGTGTATATCACAATGGTGACTGATTCATATCAGTACCTCCAGTGAAAAACGGAATAAGACGATTACGTTATGCCCTGTTGTTTTTATTGCACCATTGGCTTCAGCGTGTCCGATTACATAACATATTAAATGAACATCTCTCTAACAGTCTCCTAACCTCGTCTTTTTTGTTGCACTAAAGACATAACTCACTATTTCTAAAGGAATAATTTTAGTTATCGGGCATTTTTTATCAGTCTAAAGCGTCGAGTATATAACCAGAAATAGAGACGAAATAAGGGCCATATATTCCTGGCATATATAAATATCAACTTTCGTTTGCACTGAAATATAGACAGGCCAACTACTGACCTGTGTGAACGTCTCCGTATATTCCAAAAAATATTCTGTATTTATTGTAATAAAGATAATATCTCTAACAATGCCGTACTGTTCTATTCGGTGGTGTGGGAAGTGAAACTCGAACTCGGGCTAGTCAATCGGAGCGCAGTTGTCACGGTAATGATATGGCAGAATAGTTTTCAAACAAATTAAATGACATTTCGTCTCCATTTCTGGTTATATACTCGATGGTCTAAAGGTACAAGTGCTCTCAACTCAAAAAAATACATACAAGTTTAACGAACAACTACAGATATATTTTTACATAAAGACACTTTTCGTATTGTTCCATAATGACGGGCAAAAAAGTAGGACTAAACGCGGCTATTGCCTTATACCTTAGTGTGCATAAAGGTATCATTGAGCATTCCGTTTGATCCATTGGATACGATTGGTCATAACTGCGACTATACAGTGTTGCTATTGGTTAATAGTTCGCAACAGAAAACTCTTCTCGTTTTAATTGTTTAACGATTTTATATCTTTTATCAATATGGTTAATATCATATATATTGTTATAACCATAGGACTGTCGCAGTTAAGGGAATAAGTCGTTATATGTCTTAAAGTTTTGTTATTTTAGTTAGTGTTATTACCGTTAAGCGCTCATAAACAAGGACTCTACTCGAAAAAAACTCAAAAAAATAACGCGAACACACTCATACTCATAACCCCGCACTAGGGAAACCCTGGCCACGAAAGCATAGATGTATGATCTAAAGCTAGAAATCATAAAAAGTGCTAATAATAAATGAGAACAACCAATAATCAATTAAAGTATGGTTTTTGCCTCTCCTGAAAATTGTCGATTTTGAGTTATTCCCTTTTTTTCACTGGAGGCACTTCATTTATTCACTGCGAAAAGACAATTCCACCTTTTCAATTACGATATCTGTGTTTAATTTGAATACGAACGATGTTTTGTTGCTGTTGTGATGTAAAACATTCGGAATTTATATATTCAAAATTATATTCCGAATTTAAATCGTCCGTGAAACCTGACAATGTTCATCGTCACTTTCTTTTCGCTTTTCAATTATTATTTGTGGCTGGATGCTTACCTACAATTCGGTCGCTCGTTAACATCGAATGCGCTTTTATATCGAATAAATCTCTTCATGTAACATTTATAAAATTAACTTTTATCTTCGGAACTAAAACTTCGGACATGAAGAAAAAATTTGTAGTTTTAATAATTTTTTGCCGAAACCTTCTACAGATGGAGTTTAAGTTTGACACTTCTAGCTGTTCACAGAATTGAGACCCAGTTGACATATCCCACGTCATCAGATATAGTATATTTAGTCACGCAATAAGCAGACTTATTCGCATAATTATATGTAACTTCATTTTGTTTAATACATTATATAGATACGTATATACTTGCAGTATATACGTATCTATAAATTTAGTGCATCGACTGTTCTTTCCTCTAGTAAACTTAAATAGGCCAGAGAACATTACAAAATAATGCATTGTAAGGATTTATTCGATGTTGTTAAAATGTAAGGTTTTGCTAAATTGCTAGCAAAACCTTACATTTTAACAATGGAATTGTTTTTGTCTGGCGTATGGGTTTAATTTTGCAGCTAATGAAATCAAAGAACAAAAGTGTTCTGGGTCCCATATTAGCCGGGATTAAAGGGTTACTCGCCGCGATCGGGTTTTGTCTCGATGCGTAAGTGGGGAGATTTAAATTTATGTCGACGATAAATTTTTCGCACACAATAATTATTTTCTACAATATTTCAGTAGACAGCCCTTTTCGAGGCCGATGGCGCAACATGACCAAATGCTCTAATTGAAATATCCCCATTGAAGATTAATCCTCATCAACCCTTTTATACGTCCCACTGCTGGGCACAGGCTGATCTGGGGTTAGTCATAGTGCCCTTCTCGTAAGGGTCGGTAGGGAAGGTCACTATAATCAAAACTAATGTTTATAAGATATGGGGCTGCTGGGCACGGGTCTCCGGCAAGGGTTTTAGGCCATAGTCTGCCAGGCTGTTTGGACCAATGCGGGTAGAGGACTTCTCAGTTTTCCAAGGGTTGTGAACCTTCTTCGACGTGCAGGTTTCATCACAGTGTTTTTCTTCCTCGAAAAGTTCACGAGGAAATTCAAATTAAATTTCACACATAAATTTCGAAAAACGAGGTTGGACTTTCGAGTCCAGACCTCTGCCTGCGTACATCTGCCTGAGAGGCATATATATATATATCTCCGAGTCGGTACGATTGCCTTGCTGGTCGGCCACGCAGAGGTCTCGGATTCAATTCCCGCGCCGGGTGAAATATTTGTATAGTCTTCATTTATTTATCTTGTGTATCCATGACACCCGCGACACAGGGTGGAAGTGAGGTGAGCACTTTTGAACGCCCCGTCAAGTCATTGCTATCTAAACTGATTGTTTTATCAAGTCTTGTTATGCTTCCAAATTTTAGATTTATTTCACTATGTTGTTGCATTTGAAATATCTACTTATGATATGGGTACCATAAACACGTTGTCGCATCAACAAAGTACGTTTGTTAATCCATCATGATTTGCGTTGACGCACAACGCCACGTGATTTGGTAATTACTGGATTTCACGAAACCTGTTAAATTCGGATCACGCATCGTATCACGCTTATGCTAATTGAACCTTTCATAAAGATGGAAAATAATTTCAACCTTCACACTGACGGCTTTTAAAGAATTTAGCAGAAAGGTGGCTAAAGAGACTAAGGCTGAGATTTATAAAACGAACTTAGACTTCAGTTAAGCAAAAATGGCGACTTATGTAAGTTCTTCATATCTGTAAAACGAACTTTGCCGGAGACTGACAAAGAAACTACTTAATTTGATTTCTTGCTTAAACTTAGGTAAAGTTCTAACTCGCCATTTTTGCTTAGTGGAAATCAAAGTTTGTTTATAAATCTCAGCCTAAATATAGTCTACGAGCCATCTTTCTTTTTTTTTTGCTTAATGGTGCTACCCTTTTTGCCATCTTTATATACCAACAAAAATGAATAAAGTCGTGACATCGTCAAAGATATCAATAACATTCTTTTCTTTCTGGTCCAAAAGTTCACGCTTGTGATTCGTGACGCAAATCATCGATGCTGCAGTAATTGATGCATCTCATTTGGACGAGAGGATTTTCGGCGCGGCGTCACCTTAGGTGTCGACAATACCGAATTTTCTAAAATTATGATCGCCAATACTAAGTGCCTTTATTACGGGAGTGAATCGTGCTTACCTGTGCGCCGACCATTCCTTCACGTAGACGCGGGAGATCGGTGTGCGAGTACTTGGAGATGGACCAAGGCTCGACGCGTGTCAAGTCGGTGTCCAGGTTGAACTCGTTAATCTGGTTGCGCAGGAATTTCCTCACGTTCCATGGAAGATCATTGTGCCTATAATTGTTTAATTTATTACTTGTATCGTTGTGCGTGACATTGTTCTGTTGGATTCTTGGTTGTTTTGGGGCTGAGAATTGAGATAATGACTTTTTTCCAATTACGAACTGAGTGTTTACGAACTGATTCATAAAATAGGGCATTCCTTAGTTGACACCAGGTAATTCATGTGATTGTATAGTACATATATTATAATTATTACCCGTCAGTAAGTGGGACTTCCTCGAGGATCTGCTTAGCGATCTCAAGCCTCTCACGATCGTAAGAGGCCGCTACTGCGACGGCAGTGACGGCTAGCAGCAGGCATGCTATGGCACACCGCTCACCCCCGCCCAGCATTCTCACTATGAACAAATTGATATTTAGAAAAAAACCTAAAATTATGTAAAGGAGTGTAATTATTGTGGCGAGGGGATCATTAGGGAGTCACTTATCAACATGGAATCGGTTTGTGGCGTTGATCATATTTTACCATACTTGTCGCATTAAGCCGAGTTGATACGACCGTTTGGTCGGCGTCTGTCGCCACTCCGCCATCGTCTCCGATCGGAGTGCCCGTCGACACGGATATCCGGATTTCTAGACACAGGCGCTCGGGTGTCCACGCCACCGATTAGCCGTCATCGACTGCATACAGACGCGATTGGAAATTCAAAGGAAGCAGGTTGGTTGCCGACCTGTTTCGAGCCGTGTCTTACGAGCTTATGCGAAACGTGCATCATTTTTGCTGTTACTACATAAAGTTTATCTCACATGTTTTATGCGAATCCGTGTTATTTATTAAGTATGGTGTATGCCAGGACAGCGCCTAATGACTATACTAACGCATTGTGTAGTTCCATACATATTACTTCTAGCGTTACATAATACCGCTTTGCCTCGGCGTCACTGGCATGTTGTTAAGTGTTAAAGCCATTATTGGTTGGCGTCTATTTCTTATTTTTATGCAACGTATTAAAAGTGTAAAAGTTTCTGGGGTCTACACGACCCTCCTTTGTCTAAATGAAATCTTTTTAGGATAAGGATATGGTTAAGTCATCGAGTATATAACCAGAAACCGAGACGAAATATCATTTAATTTGTTTGAAAACTATTCAGCCACATCATTACTGTGACAACTGCGCTCCGAGTGGCTAGCCCGAGTTCGGAACAATTGACGTATGTCGTCAATGGGTATCGTCAATTGTTTCATTTCAAAACGACCAGTTAACTTGAGCTTTGCTATAATGGATGAAAATTGTAAAATTACATATTTAATGTTTAATTACCGTTGAAATGTGATTCTGTTTGTTTTGTAATTATATGTTTTGCTGTTTTTCCTACACCACCTAATAGAACAGTACGGCATTGTTAGAGATATTATCTTTGTTACAATAAATACAGAATATTTTTGGAATATACGGAGACGTACACACAGGTCAGTAGTTGGCCTGTCTATATTTCAGTGCAAACGAGAGTTGATATTTATAAGTACCGCTAATACTGTATCGCTAATGTGTTACCAGGAATATATGGCCCTTATTTCGTCTCTATTTCTGGTTATACACTCGATGGGTTAAGTATATTAAATATAATTATGTTGTGGTAATGATTTGATTGATTTGACATAAAGACTTCTTTGTGAGTATTTAATATTTTTGCGATAACCAACAAAAAATAGATTATGGATGTGGGTCGTTATTTGCACGTATAAGACATTATGTGCGCGTAGGTCGTTATACCAAAATGAAATTGGTCAATTTCCTGTTTTTGAGGAACCTCTGCCCTCCTAAATAAACAAACTTCTCCCATTCAAAGTTACGTCCTGTCGAGAATCGTGGAATAAAAACACACTCGTTTATGTATTTGTTAAATTATTATCTATCTATCTTACGTATAACCGAACCTACTACAGGTCGTACTAATTGCTCCCCGCATATGTCAAATATACTGCAATTACTTACACAATATCATTTTAACTTCAGATTTGTCTCCGTATATCGCGTTTATTGCTCGTTTATATACGCAATTAACACCCAATGGACTTTGCTGTGTCCATGCCCGTATTGAACTTTGACAACGAAATCCAACTTCAACTTGACAGTGTACGGCTCTGGAGTATACACTAAAATAACTCATAAAATAATACTTGGGAGCAAATGAGCTAATGTTAGGACAACATTATCGGTGCGGGAGGCACTCTGTTTTAGAGTGCATAACGAAGATCAACAGGACACAAAGACTCAAAAATAATAAATCAATGAAGAGGTGTAAGTAATAGTTTATCCGATATACCAAGAGTGTGTAAGATAAATCACGTATTTATTTAATGCATGTCTGCTTCTAATTAAATAAAAGTCTCAGATTACATTATTTTCAATAGATTCAATTAGTTTTTTCCAAATGTCTTCTTCGGGCCAGGGCAAAACCGAAAAGGCTATTAATATTTTATGCTATTTAAATAGAAATAAGGTATAAATTTCAGTATATGATCGACCTGGGAGTATCGCAGTGGATTTCTCTCATAGTGTCGAAGAGATCGCTAGAAGATACCGCGGCGGAAGGCATCGATATTCACTGGTATGCGATGGAATTCACAGGTCGCACCGGAGTCTACCTGAATGCGCCGAGGTAGCGGCAAACAGGAGGGCAAAACTATCTTATCATCACCCTCTGCTGGTGGATTTTTTGGTGCACTCCAGCACACCAGATTTTATTTGACCGATCTATAGGTTTGGCGAGCTTCCGCGCAGTCTAGTGCCTTCTACTCTGCCGTGCACGACAAAATAAATTCATTATCCCGCCTAGACACGTCCGACGTATTTAAAGATGCGAGTTTGTACCAAAATAGATAGACACTGTTTGGTGCCGAGTTATTGGATTATGGAGATGTTTGTACGAAGTTCCGTCTAAAATATCCCGAAAAATTCTTCTCCATTACCACGTTTTCAGGGCGTCTCTCTTCTTCTTTTCAATTTCACGGGGCGTCCACGTCATCTTAAATGTGAACCTCCATTTTTAGTTACAATTAGCAAAGGTCCACTCGGTCTATTAGTTTAGAAACAGCTTATTTTCTTTGCAGAACATGCTAAATAAGTCTGTTACTCAGCACTTAAACAGCTTTGCTTCATGACATAAAATGTGAAAAGTCAATGCACTAGTGAATAAGAAAAGTACGGTCCTACTGTGTTCCTTTATATCTGCATGAAAGATAGTCTTATTTTTCTAAACGTTTGCTCCAGTCGTCGTTGTATTCAGCCAGTCAAGTGAATATGATGGATCAATTATAATATGATTCCGCAATTGGTTTCTAGGACCATTATCACCATCATTATCATCAACTCATTTATACGTTCCACAGCTGGCACGGATCTCCTGTCAGGGGGTTTTGGCCCTTGTCGCCACACTGGGCCTATACGGGTTGAGGATTTCACACACATTGTCTAAGAGTTGTAAACCTTTTTCGTCATGCAGGTTTCATCACGATGTTTACCTTCGCCGAAAAGCTCATGGTAAATTTCAAATAAAATTTCGCACATAAATTCCGAGAAACTTAGAGGTGCGAGCCCGGATTCGGACCCACGGCTTCTGCTTGAGAGGCAGTAGGTCAACCATTAGGCTACCATGGCTTTTTTAGGGCCATCACGCCAAAATTATAAAAAAATATAAGGACATAGTTGGAAAAAATAAATTAAGGGGTGGATAAACAACTTTTAATTTCATTGTCTTCACTCCCATATTACAAGCTTCTGCTTAGTTTATATGCAAGAATAACCTATAGACTTATTATTCAAAATAATATACCTCTTACTATTGGGAATAATATTGAAAATGGGGAATTCGTTCTACAAGAATAACGGTTGAGGACATGCTCGCAATCGGTATCACGCACGGCCAGGACAGGTTTATCACTTTTCATATCAAATGAGCACTGACTGTTGATGAGGTGAATATTTAAATTATTTATTTAAGTATCTATATTTTTGGATCTTTTTACGTTCGTACTTAACTTTATAGTCTTTTCTCTATATCTTTTTTACTCGATGTATCTCATTTAGACTACAATCAGAGTTTTAAAATTTCGAATTTTTAGCTTTTCTTTCGCCTCTTTTTGAAGTGTAGTGAGAGTATTTACGTTATTAGATTTAATAGTTTATATTATAACTAAATGAAATATTTAAAAAATTAAAATACAATTATTTGATGAACACTATACGAAACTGATAGTGTCCATTGAGTGTGTACTCTAATGGACACTATCAGTTCAGTCTAGATAACCTTCTTAAGGGCAGATTAATGGAAGAATACGGTTCAACTGGCAGATATGGTAACGTAGTCTAGAGTTTTGTCAAGTGGCTGCCAATTTTGCAGTTGGTGTTCTTGTGATGGCTTGGACTAGGCAGCCTGTTACGGAGGCGAAAGCGTCTATAAGGCGAGTAACGTATCGTTAGGCAGATTTTGTCGATAGGTTCGTTGTCAGGCAAAGAAACAGCTATTTTTTCAAGTTCATCTGCACGGGATATTGCAAAGGATAGCTGTGTTTTTCCCGAGGACGAGGTCACAAATTTCACATACACTATTTACATAGGAGAAGAAGAATAACAGGCTGACATTAGATGGTAGACGCCGATGCCGCCGAGGTTTACGTCTATCGATCAAGACTGATTGGACAAAACGACGTCCAGTTTCTTAATCAAAAATGTCTTTTCTAGTCAATTTTTAAGGTCTTCAGCACTCTAACTGATTGAGCACTACACTCTACACACTGAAAAGGTATCGTGGTGGCAATTAGTCGATTGATGTGTAGCTGTGTCCTCAACTGATTCAAAAGTTCAACTGCGAACCTTGATCTACACCGATTCTCTCCTCAAATTCAACACTTTAATTTAGGCATTTTGGTAAATAGCTTTACTATATGTATTGTAATATTCCAGTAAATTATATGCTTGCAATGTTTGGCAAATAGTTTTTTTAGTGAACGCACTATCCAAATTCATATGCTAATTCCTTCTGTTATCTCTGTATTTCTTATTAGGATTCTAATCGTGTAAGGATCGTCTGTACTTGGCTATCGAGCGAAATTGCCGCAATGGTTTTTTGTGACCTCTAATGTAAGTTTGAGTCGATTATTTAGATTTCCTTTTACTTTATTTGTCATTGTTTTGGTATCTTTAATATTTATAATTACTGGTTATATATTATAATACTTATGACAAAGATACCAAATATTCTTATTATTTTTCTAATTGGTGTCAGCATTTACGTAAAACCAAACAAATTTCTTAAACAATAATAAAAAATCCTCTTTGATTTCACTAAAAGCTCAGTATTACAGTTTTGTTCTCATAAATCTGACTTTTATTGCCTACTTTTGCCTTGGCTCAAATTCTCTGTTATCGGGCATACCAAAAGCTTTAATTAAAGGATCTCCGATGTAAGCCCGGGTAGACGAATAGCTTTGTCATTTCATGCCTTTAAACTACGAATTTAGTAGTAAAATTGCTGGACAAACTCCGATTGAGTATATTAATTTAGTGACAGAGTTGACACTGTCTCCTTATCCCTCAGAAAAAAATGCAATTTATAGAACCTAATTTAAAATCTCAGTTGGAACTTCATCTATCAAACTTAATTTTATAACATCATTGTGTCGAACGCAAACCAATCAATTCTTATAGGCTTAGAATTTTAAAGTCGACTTTCTTTAATGTTTTAAAACTTTCAACATTATAAAAGTAGCCAATTACGTACCTCCTGTCACGAAGTTGGGCAGCTTAATTTTCCTTCTTGCCGCGGTACCTGCAACCGGGGACATTTTTTAATTAATTGCCCCAGATTAGGGAACAGACCCCTTCCTTTCTTCATACCCCGCAACTCACCCCATCTCCCGTTCGCGACAAATCGCGATAAAACTTTTAAAGTAATTAATGAGAGTTGTGACCTTTTGAATATTCATGACATTTAAATTAAATGTACGTTATTGCATTGAAACGGGTGTATAAGTAATTGACTAGCAATATCTATTTGGATAAAAACAAATAAATTAATAAAAAATGGACATGTATTTCGACTCATTTAAACCTTGCGTTTGCACTTAGCATATACGAGTATGTATTTACATTGATATTATAACATTTTGCAACGAGCACGAGTCAGTTCGATCAGCGGAGCCACAATATTGTGAACAATAGCGGCAGCGGCAGTCCGGCACGATTGCTTTTTGTATTCGTGGTTTTGTTCAGTACTTACAGTTAACGTAGAAGGATTATATTGCATTTCTACGACATACATTTTGTGCTTAACATTTTATATGATATGTAGTGAGGTTTCCGTTGTTCAAATGAAAATGTGTTATTTTATGGTATGCGTTGAAAGATCGCAGCGAATTCGTGTGTGGGAAGCGGTAAAATTACACGCTTAGCGAACGCAAACGCGCGATTACGCGCCGTCACCTGTAAAAATGAGATACACCCAAAGTAAAGTAAAAAAATGTATACACGCACGTATCTTAAACTGAAGGCTAAAACAAAACGAAACTGTTGTTTTAATCAACATTGCATACTATGGATGTTCTGAGACTAATATTTTGTTATATGTATATAATAACTTCAGTGTTTCAGAACGATATGTTATTGGCTTAAAATTTTTTAAATTTCAACTTTTTAGTAGCTTCTACATTTCGTGTAATGTGATATTCAAAATGTTACATGCTGATTTAACTCTTTTTCATTTTCATTAAAATCCGCTGCTATGGGAATAATTATGACATGTTAAGGTTACAGTATACAGTATACATGAGAATAAACGTAAATTTCGGAATCCACGGTGTTTTTATTGTCGAATTCACTCTCTCGCAAATCTTACTACTAGTTCTAGCCTCGTTAAGTTCGACCGACTGGATCATTCTCGGTTTTCTAATGCGGACGTTTGTTGCAATTTTTTTTAGTACAAAATCATGTTTGATTTGATAGGCCTTTAAACTTTCACGCACTATTAAGCACTTTTACACAGAGTTTGATATAATGAGTTAAGAGTTAAGTAAGAACAAATGCAAATTTTTCAGACGCAGTATATGGCCAATTTGCAGGCAAAATTTGGGCCTTTTCAAGGCAAGAGTAAATAGCGATTATTTAGGCGAGCTTGCAAAAAAGTTTTCGCGCTGACAGTTTTTGTTTTTAACTGAGTGATGAGTGATGCTTTGGTGCACATTCCCAACGTATAAAACGCAGTGTCGTCACAGGAGCTGGTTAGTTATTTGTGTGTAGTTTCTACTAACACTCATTATTCGAAGTCGTTTACACTTTAGTGACTGTTACAAGTCGTATTAGTAAAAAACTCTTATGTTTCCTCATTTCGATACTGAGATTACTATATTGGTTATTTTTTACAATTTCAAGTTCATTTTCTCAAAGAGTGGCACTCTAATCCTTTCGCAATTTTACCAACAACAAAAATATGCGGCGCATAGATTCATTTCGAAGTTTTTCGGTAGTCACTCCTTTATAGAAATGTTCACGGTGTCGCCAAGGACTTCCATTGCTACGTCGTAAAATTTACAAAGCTTAATTGGAAATGTAGTTGCTCAAAGGCTATAGGTTTATGCTGTAGTAGTACTTAAAGTACATTTTCCTGTTACGTTACGCTGGACCGTGTATCGCCAATGCATCAATATTAAGTCGACTCAAATTCTAAATAAAAATATGTTTATTTCATAGGTAAGCAAATCATAATTGATTACTACTCATGGACAGGTTCCCCGTGAAGAGTAAGTAGTTTTACCTTTTTATCCGTTTTTATCATGTTTGTTTATAATATTAAATGTAGAAACAACTAAAAAGAGTTAAACAGGTCACTCCCATGAGATTTCGCATGGTTTTTGCTGACAATATGGTTAATGATACATCATTTAAATTTCGTCACGTAACAATTATGTCAATATCTTAATGTCGAATAAAAGGTATACTTTTGTGAGGTTTGTTATCAATCGTGATTCTCGGTGGTTGCTTCCGAAGCATAGCGGCAACACTATAGCTCCTCCACCATTTCCAATGCAGCGATAACCGCGCGGAACGGGATGTGACATGGTTGTTAGGCTTTATAAAACTGTTGCTTTAGTAACGATCACAAACATACTAACATAATAATCTAATACGCTGTGGACGTGATGCAGTATTATACTCACTCTGAATTTTGATTACTATTTAAGGGCATATTAATGCCCACATTAATTAGTAGAAATATTGATTGACTTTGAGCCGCATTTATATAAATACAGTGGACGTTCTTAGTGACCGTGACACGTGTGCCAACAGTACGTAGAGTTCAACATACTTGAGCTACATACAGTCGGCCATTTTGGTTTTGTACGTTATGGTCCTGTTAATTATCTGGCGCAAAACCTCGAAAGCCTTAAAAGCCTTATTAAGTGCTAACTAAGTACTAAGTTGCACCTGTAATATTATCTATGGTGGTGTTACCTACATATCATTGTTGTCTTGTTTTATTTAATTGTATATAAATTATTGTAATAGATTTTTGTTATAAGAAACGAAAGTAAACCTTATATCTGCAGTATGGTTCCTCTTTTTTTGGAGAACTAAGTGAGCGTCTTGAATTCGTTATCATTCAGCTATTGACCGCAAGATGGCAGCACATTGTTTGAAATTGTAATATAAAATCAAAACATCGTAACTTGCATTAATAAGTATGTATGTAGTGTAATGTATGTAAATACTTTATTATAACACAAATAAATGACAAATGTTAAGAAATAGTTTAAAATATTAATGTACAAAGTCGACGTTAACTCATAATTGTCCCATAAAGGGATTTCTTCCAGCTAACTTTTCATATAAGTATTGAACCACAATATGCCAATAGGGTAAATTCGAAATTATATTAACAGTCCATGTTTTTAAATTAGAAAAGACGCAATCATTATCAAAATTTAATTGTGTTTAATATTATGATTGTGTGAGTTTTCGTGACAGCGTTTCTGATAGTAATCGAGGCTTAGGGCTCTTTCATTGTTTATTTTCTTCCATGCAGCATGTTCTTTGAAAACATTTTATTGCGACTAATATTCGAAATTCGAATGTGGAACAATTGTTCAGAGCATTCATTTGGATCACTATTTTGAGCATTGAAATGGACCGAGCACACGATTGATAGAAATACGACGACTATTTGAATTGTTGCAATACTGTACATATATTCGAACAATTTTGGGAGACAATTCGCACGTTGATTATTTCACCAAAGTTATGAAAATGAAGTGTTCGAAATATTCGGGCACACTTTTTTCGAGACCTTTCTTTTTTTTTTCAAACAAATCAACTGAATTTTTAATTTGGTCCACAACTAGTTTTATTTCCAATGTGTAGCAATCGGGAAAGCCCAAACCAACCAGTGATACCAAGTGGCGGGACGTACGAGTCGTGCAAGTCGCGCACCGGGTGGTAAGCGACAGGTCTGTCCATAACAGTTGCAACGCCGCTCAGGGCTTTAAATCGCAAAGATCCGCGGGGCATTGCTACTGCGCCCGTCACACTGAAACATAAGTTGAAAGTCCCATCCTAGTATACCGATTCCTCGAAATCGGTTGCTCGTTATAGCAGACTGTAAACCTTATTATTGACGTTTGTTCTACCTTGTAAGCTTGAAAAGTTCATCGAAAACCCCAAATGCTTCCTAAATCAAATTAACTAATACAAAGTTTAATTATACCTATTATACATAGAAACAGGAAAAATATATTATTTCCGATATTTACACCGTTTCGAGTGTCTGTCGCGGACCAATAAATTGGGTAATTTATATTAGTCACGTTTCATTCGAAAACAGTTTTATTGGCGTATAGGAATAGTCAGTTATTATTACATCAATTTCCGGTCGCTGTTCCGATGCTTTCAGAATTTCTTACTAGATATGATACAGCTTTAACCAGTTCACGTTGTGTTGGAGTTACATTAATTTTTTTTTTTATTATTTATATATTATTATATTATATATTATTTATACAATTAAGAGCTTTGAAACGCAAAGATTTGAGGGGCATTGTCACTGCGCGCGTCACCCTGAGACAACAGATCAAACAAACACAAATACAAATGAAACATTAGCATAGACTAAAATTTACATTAATTAAATTTATTTTATGTATAAGAAAAAAGATCAATCATTAAGAAAGATGACCGTTAATTTTTTACCAGCTGCTTTTGCAAATATAAAATGATCATTTAAATACATGCCTTAAACTATTATTTCGCACCCTTATTAGGTCATATTAGCAAAATGACAAATTCACAAACTAAATTAGTCGATAACTTATTGATTATGCTGCAATATAGTTATAAAATCTAACATACATAATTCGCTCTATGTGTTTCGCATTATTTTAATGACTTTCATGTGATAAAATAATTTTTGAAATATGATCAAATGTAGCTTTATATACTAAGCGTACGATATAGTGCTCTGCAATAATAGATCGAAATTGCTTGTTACCGTCCTCGAAAGAAGGCGAGCGTTCCTCCTGCAGTGTCCTGATTAGAAAGTATTGCCATCATTTGTTGGGGATCTCTTTATTGGTTCTTCTTGCTGTTCCTGATAATTATAATTATCAAGACAACTGTTTTTTTTTGCTTTGGAACCTCCTTATTTACAAATATTATATTCTGTACATACTCCAAGGTTACACTGAACCAACATTAAATCGGATCTAGTTCCTGTTCAATGTTTGAATTTGTGTCACTTGCAGAGTCCTCAGTGTAATTAATATGGTCATGAATAATTGCCAA